GTTCCTTGGCGGTGAATACATTTATGAATTTAATTGTAAAAGACGAACGTTCATGCAATATACTTAAATGTGAAAATTGTATAATAGGAACTCTGTGCAAATAAATAACTAAATAATTAAATGGAAAAGCGTACTTGTTACACAATTGACCAAGAAGCTGATTTATTCACCAAAATCGTTTCCAGGATCTTCGAGCAAGAATTGGCCCCATTGATTGAGAGGGGGTGTTGAGAAACGAAGCAATCATTGGATGAAGCCAGCGATCATAGCAGCCTATGAAGATGTTGGAACTATAATTTTATTCATTCCCTGTCAAGCAGCCAAGCTGAATAGACCTATTTAATAAAGTGTTTTCGTTGCTTGAATTACTTGTTTCACTGCGTATTTGAAGAAACCTAAACAATAACTTTCATTACTCTTTGTTCTCTTTTCTTTCGAGAAAGATTGCATTTGTAAGATATTCACCCATACCTTTATTATGTGCTTTACCGCGTGTGTTCGTAGAATCATGCAAAATAGAATACTGTGACTTTTCTCAAATCAAACGGTTGGTTTCCAATAAGTAGGTGCTTAGTTCAACATTAATTGAAAATTAGGGGGATTCAGTTATTGAATTTCAAAGACAGAGCAAAAGCTCGTATACAGGTTCTCCAACTATTCAATGTTTTGATCATAGTTATAATTACGTTGTCGAAGGTGGTTCAGAATTTAATTTAAATATAATTTGAATTTTCTGCCTCAAGTTGAACGACCTTCTCCAGCGTCCCAATCAGTAGATGGTGCCGCGTTACCTCTGACTGCTTTCATGTTGGTGCGATAGTTGGTGCAGCGGTCTTGGGTCGTTTCGGAGAACTGTCTGTCTGGCGATCCTCATGTGTACATGTACAAGAATTACTCATGTATTTTACAACCTATGTTGATTCATAGCATTGGTTTTTACTGTTGCACAATTTCTCAATAATCGCTTAATTTACTTCCAAGCTGTATTTGTAGAACACGGCTTCGTAATCCCACAAGCACTTCTGAGTAATATCATAGAGGTAACTCTAAGACCAGAAGGTCCCGAAGAAACGAGCTCAACATTTTGTTTCAGCTCTGGTACTATCTTCGATCCCAAGCTAAGCCCCTCGAAATATAGGAAAATCCACTAACCCCTCATTTTATCTGTCAAACTTTCATAGCGAATCAAAACAAACATTGTGTAGTACAAGAATTTCGACTAGAATGGGGTACGTTAATCGATTTGCTTGGGACCAATAGGCTAGTCAAGTAGTCTTAAAATCGTTAGTTTCGTATTGATTGTTGGTAATATTGCGCCTCGAGTAAGATGTTATTTTCGTTGGCAGATGTTAAAGGGCACCGATAAATTACTTTTTCAAGTAGCTTTGATAACCCTGAGGATCCTTCCCAGGTTTACGGATGGCTATGACTTTAGCTAACTTCCAGCACGAGGGGTAGTAATCAAGCTTAAGGCACTGATTTTCATAGAATCTAGAGCTCATATGTTTGAGCTCTAGATTCAAGATGTTATCGAAACCTTGGGCCTTCATGTTTTTGGAAGATTTCATAAAGGCCAACAGTTCGTCAGCTGAAATCTCTGAAACTTCGGGGAAGTTGTTGGGAATCAAATGGAGGTGCAGTCAACCTTTCTACGTTTTCCTTACTTAAGCAATTAGATTATCATTCTATGCCCCTCTTTTTTTCTGTATTTTGCTAACGTAGGTGAAAAAAAAAGCAAAGTCAATAAATGATATTGGCTGGTACCGTTTGGTTGAATGCGACCTAACACTTTTATCATTTTCCAATAGTTAATCATTGATAAACAACTATCCTAATTATACCAAACAAATTTTATAATCGATCTGATTAAAATGGTGTAATTAAAATAGAATTTCATTCAAAAATTACCATTACTATTTCGTCAAACATTTTTTTTTTTCAATTCATTCACATCAGCAAAATATAGAAAAAAGGAGGGGCATAGAATGCTAATCTAAATGTTTAAGTAAGAGAAACGTAGAAAGTTTTACTGCAGTCATCGTTTGACTGCCGAGTGTTCGTTGCGTTGTACACTGAAAACGAAACTAACTCAGTGGTTAACTTTTACTCATTTGTTCGTCACTTTTACTCATTCGTATGGAACATTTTCTTAAAGCGTAAGCTACTCAGCGCATGAGTAGCCTACGCTTTTAAAAATTTCTTCATACGAATGAGTAAAAGTGACTCACTCTCTGACTCTCACTTCTGTAAAGGGTTGAGTTATGAAATTCACTTTATTCCAAAACAATATCCGAAACAACTAACTAGAAAATCGATCAAAAATTTTAGTAGTACGTCAATAATGCGGTCGTGTCTTGTACACCACCCTCCAACTTTTTTACATATGCTGCACAAAAAATACGTTCCAAGCCCCGCCCCTTAGAGAATTTCTCTCCGTTTTTTTATAAATGGGGCGGGACAAAAAGTATATTAGTAGTTTGCTTAACAATAATTTCCTAATTTCCAGGGAACAAGTGAACGTCAAAGCACTAAAAAATGGCCCTGAAACTGATAGTAGATAGCGTTGTTATCTCAAAATTGACGAAAATCCATATGGGACAGATATATGATTTTAGGCAGCATATGGGATTTCTTAACGGGCGTCTGCTGATAAAACAGTATTCGGAATCGATTACATGTCGACGAAATCCGTCGACTAAAAGCTACGAAATACGCAGATTGGTGCACCACAAAAGGCTGACTGAAAGTAAATTGGTACACCCCTCGCGCGCCGCTAGCACGCTTCTAGTGTTGGGAATGACAGTAGTTTGTTTAAACTTCTATAGAGTGGTGCAAGTTTGACCAAAGTAGTCGATCGCGTTCAGAAATAACGTCAAATGGAACACGAAATAAGAAAAACTAATATTGTGCGCAAACACCGGAGTGGTCCGGTTCTAAGCTGGCTAAAGTGCTGAAGATGCCGAAAACAACAGTTTGTCCAGTGCTCAAAACCTACAAGGAAACTCTGAGTGTGGAAAGGAATCAGCGGACCTATGAAAAAACTAGAACCTGGGATCGTCAGCAAGGTGTTGAGGTTTTTCGATCCTAGATGTGGCCAGAAGGTACAACGCCAACTTTCAAACGGTGCGGAACATCCTTGCTAGGGGAGGATACAAGTATTACAAAGCCAGTAAACATCCGAACCGGCACATGGAGCAGAATTCCGTGCTCAAAAAATGTGCAAGGCTTCTTGTACGACCGTGTTTTGACTTTGATCGATGACGAAACATACGTCAAACTCGATTTTAAGCAGCTTCCCGGTGAAAACTTTTACATCGCGACTGGACGTGGCAATGTGCCGGGAAGATTCAAGTTCGTTTTTGTCGACAAGCTCGCGAAGAAGGCCATGATTTGGCAAGCGATTTGCAGTTGTTGCTTGAAAACGGAACCATTCGTCACATCCTCGACGATGACATTTACACAAGTTTACACCGAAGAATGCCTGAAAAAGCGTGTATTGCCGTTCATCCGCAAGCATAGAGGCAAAGTCAAATTTTGGCCCGATTTGACCAGCTGCCACTACTCCAAGGTGGTTCTGGAGTGGTATGCTGCCATCAAGATCGATGTTGTTCCTAAGCAATTTCAAAGCAGCGACTTTGACGAAGGGGTGGGGCGAAATGGAAGAAATGCGCTGATTCCGTGTCCGTTTCCACTGTGCGGGCGCTGATGGGCTCCATCAAGAGGAAGGTTCGAGATTTCGTTCGAACTGAATAAATGTGACCATCTAATGCTGTAACTTTGAAGTTTTAATAAAAGTACTGTCAAGCAACCAATAATGAACTTTTTAAACTTATTGAATCACAAATTACAGGTCTTTTCGTGCGTACCAATTTACTTTTAGTCAGCCTTTAAACTACTGACGAGCAACCCGATGTAAGATGGTGTTTCAAACAGCTGATTTCTGATGATTTAGTCGGCTACCTGATTTCGTCTGCTGTTTACTCAGTTGACACCATTTTAAAATTCCATATACCTACGTCGATGCAACATTTGTCGGATCAAAATCGGTCAACTGTAACAGTTCTCATCTGTCAAATTTGTTATGGGGTATCTGAAAATCCAGCCAAGAAGTCAGCTGGCAGAAACTTTCAGTGCCTCCATGCTGAATAAAATCATCGAATTCAGCTACAGCTAGAAGCTCCGGAAGTCTAGTATCACCCCTTTTTTTCGCACCACAGACGAATTTCAGGTTTTTAATTTTCATATTAAAATTCAAATTAAAAATGAAGCCACGACCAACAACCCAGCTAGTCCAAATAATATCGGTGGTGCCGCGGTGGTCGTGGTCAGTTATTCCTCTTCACTCCACCCAGGTCCGTCAATCACCCTCGAATATCTTCGGCTCTGCACGACATTCACACTCCCTCTGATTCTCCGAGTCATGTGACTTTCCGTGTAACCTCACCCGCCATAACTTTTGTCGTCACACGACTCGCAGAATAGGGGGGAGGGGGGACAGCGTCGTCGGCAATGGTCGCTGAGCTAGGCTAAATCACCATCAAAGTAGAGATATCTCGCAGGTCAGAGATATGCACCAACCGAAATACGTGTGAACTGGAGCCAGTAGCGTCAAACTAAAGTGCGCAGACTGCCGGCAGTGGTCATGTGGGGGTGGACGCAATGCCGTCGCGATAAGCTGCCACCGGGATCGTCATTGACTTTTACGTTGTCGTTCTTCTTCGTCGCGTTGTTCGCATTTATCTTTATTCCGACACCAAAAAATAAAACCACCGAGGCTGATGATCAACACAAGATAGCGCACGGTCGTCGCACAAATGCTTCCACCCCTCTAAAGCAACTCACGGTCACTTAAGGTATTTTAAGGTCTTTGGGTTTCACTACCACCACCACCACCATCACCACTGCTAATCAATACCAACCAAGAACGACTATCGTTCGCTAGATATTGGGAAACACGAAGGGAATTCTAATTCAATTAATTAGCATAACAATTTTCTCACCGTTACCGTTGATGGAGCTGTTGCGTTGCTGTTGCTGCTGTTGTTGTTGTTGGTGTTGCCCGTTGCTGCTATTGCTGTTGATGAGCTGCGAGGCTTCCCGGTGGAATGATGACGACGAAGACGACTGTTGCTCCGGTATCGTGACCCCCGCGCCGGACGAAATTCCCAGCTGCAGATCGGACAGGCTGGAGACTGTTATTTCATCGAAACTGTTGGGAATCGACCATCAGCGGCGGCACCGGGAACGGGAACATGAAACAGAAAGAACGAATCGAAACAAACTGTTGTAAGCTACTAATCGTGCGCAGAGAGAGAGAGAGAGAGTCAGTGTGTATGTGTGTTTGTGTATGTATGCATGGTGGCGAAGAAAACGCATTAACTGTTCGCGAGAGCTATGCGTTTATGCAATTATACAAACTGCGAAGTGGAAGGCAAAAATGCTCAGGTAGGTACCAGCGGCAACAGTGAAAACAGGGGCCCCGGCTGATCCATTCGTGTAAAATCGAGAAAATTTTATTTGGACATAAAAATGATCATCAACGATGCAGGAAGGGAGTTGCCGACGTCGAGCAAGCAACTGTAATGCTTGTTGGCTTTAATTAATGAAGAGGGAACGCCTCCAATTTGGCCATCCATGGCCAATTGGCCCTATCTTAATGCAATCAGGTGCAATGTTTTATGATGCAATTACAAGTCAAATCAAGAAATGATACAACGAGAATTGAATAAACTTTCCTGAGCAATCTTGATAATGCCGCGGATAAACTTGCATGACATACTATGAACATCAGCATTATTTGTATAATATATTATGAGCACATCCATGGTCATACTTGTATAGTTTTCGGATTTGCTCATAATTTATTATACAAATAATTCTCATGTTCATATATTGTCATGCAAGTGTATCCGCGACAATATAGGGCAAATGGATATAATGTCGGCCTAAATGCCCCTAATTTGGACCCATACATCAATTCAGAAATCGACTAAATTTTCAATAGCGACCAAAAAGATCCATTAGTACCGTCCCAATGACGCGTTCATCTAGATACAGTGGCGTCGCGTCCACATGTGCAACCTGTGCACGACACAGGTGGAAATAATCTAAAAAAAATGCGTTTAGATTTTTATAGATTTTACGGTCACATTATAGCTGTACTTCTTTACTCCAGACCACAAGTGACCATGAATACACTATTTTATAGTGTGGCTCAATTAAATCTTCGACCTTGATTTGCTTCAAAAAGGATTCAGTTCAGTTCGGATGGTCTGCCTAATCCCTAATGCATGGATTTCTAAGCATGTCGATATCACTACCATGAAATAACTCGTCAAATCGTGCACCTAAAAGCGAGCTTTTTTGGGTGGCGGTTGGCAAGCTTGTGAATGGTCATATGCCTGATGTAAGCCAAGCAGACCTTCTGAAATAGTCTACACATTTTCCACAATACATGGCGGTTTGTACCTCTAGTTGTAATTGAAACTTTCAGCAGTCACGCATCAAACGGGAGCAACACGGAAACAGCAGTCTGGTACGCTTTGGACGTGTATCATACTTGCAGACCGGTTTGAATGTGTGAGTTTAAATTAGAAGAACATTTCAAGAGCCACATGTGAAAAGGGCATACCAGCTTTTTGTAAACAAACCTTTGTAGGCCCTTTTCTCGCCAACCGAGGGTGGCCCACGCAAACCAACAACATCATCGGGAAGGGTAAACCTATCCGGCGATGTTGATGGTTTGCGTTGGTGTCATATGGGTGGCGAGAAAAGGGCATAAGAATGTTTGTTTACAAAAAGCTTGTATGCCCTTTTCACATGTTTTTCTTGATTTGTGATGTATGGGTGCCTATAGCGTGCATTTCTCGCTGTGCACTTGGATATCTGATTGCAGACAAAGAGAATAATGGAGAAAGAGAGCGCAAAAGCTCGCTCTCACTCTCTTGTCAGTTCTCGATGAACATTTCAAAAGGTCCTATCTGCTTTGATCGATTCTCTTCATCGACTTTCTCTTTTCATAACCACTGCTATGCAAACAGATTTCGCGCTAATTCTACCACATAGTTTGATAACGGAGGTTCTTATCTAGCGTCCAAAACGTCAAATACAACAGGGAAAGGTTTTGCAGCTGAGTTATTAACGAAAGAGAAAGTCGATGAAGAGAATCGATCAAAGCAGATAGGACCATTTGAAATGCTCATCGAGAGTTGTAAATCTCTCAATTACCGATGGTTGCGCCGGTGCGGCTGTCAAAACTTATGCAGGGTGGCAAGTGAATTTCCATTTTAAAATTCCTGGTTTTCCTGGTCAATGATTTAAAAATTTCCTGGTTTTAAAAATCATGTATTTAAAAAACAATTTTGAATAAAAAAAAGTATTAAGGTATCAAGGTTCTTGTGAATGCCCGTGAAATCTTTATCTGATTGTTTGCTGTTAAGAAGCTAGTAGGGAGCCGCGCTACTTCGTCGTATCATGGCGCCTATTTCCGTTCTATGGGCTAAAACTATAATAGCAAAGCGTTTTCACTCATGCTTTTGCAAAAACATCTTTGCTTACAAGATTAATTACGATTGACACTGAAACATTTGCGATAACCCATAAAATGAGCGATTTTAGGGGTGTATGACGAAGAAAAGCTAAGATACGACGGACTAGCGCGGAGCCCTATCTTATGTCTGAAATTTAGAGATCTATAAGCCCCTAAATCTTGAGATTTCTGTTTTTGAAACTGCGATTTTTTAACTTTATTATTGAGATTTTTAGCCAACGGGCTAGCTTATCTCAAGGTGAAATTGCGAAATGTGATATGAATCAGGGTGGCCACAGAATTTTTATTTTGAAATTCCCGGTTTTTTTCCCGGTTTTCCCGGTTAAAACATTAATATTTTCCCGGTTTGCCTCAAACAAAATAAAATGAAAATAACTAAGCAAGTTTTCGACAATTTTCATCCACAAAAACAGAAAACCAAACTCATAGCTGAATCCAGATGAAGATACAAAAATAATAGGAAAATATGTTTATGTTCCATACAAAATGGTCGAATCAGTTTATATTTAAAAAGAAACCTTGTTCGTGCAGGCGACTACTACTGCCTCTACCCTTAACATAAAATAGGTACTGTGCCCACCCATAGATGTCACCACTTATCCCCGTATCATTGTTATAGCTTATTATGTACTGTTCTTGTTATGTTACAGTAAATAAACGTCTGTAGTACTTTTACCTCCGCCATGGCAGGACGGTCAGTAAATCGATCGTAAACAATTAATTTCAACTATCACACAACGTACAAATTGGGTCCTATCCGTGCGCGATCAAACCTTAATGTTACACTTAACTTCCTCAGCTCTTTTAGTTTAACGTCCAAAGCAGCAGCCTCTTTCTCTGCGTCTGCCAAAAGTTTAGCTTTTTTCATTTCCAGCTCTTTTATTGCTTTGTCCGCTCCCCTTTTTCGGCTAGCTTCTTTATCGCTTGCAATCCCCTCAGCTCGCTTTGCATCCAAAAATTCCTGGTACCGACCTCGGGCGTTTCGACAGTACTGAATAAGCTGCTTGTCCACTTGAATGTTGGTCACACCACCAGCCGCTAAAATCGCATCATGTACAGTGCGTTGTGCTACCAGGCTTTCCTCGGATTGATTTACCACCAGGCACTCCTTGTTGACGGAAAATCCGCGCTCCTGGGCTGCATTTCCGTGAGATATTATCAATATCTTCTTGACAAACGATGCCAAATTCGGAAGCTGTTTTCCAGAATCAGCAATTGCCTTCAACCAGAAATGATCGATCCGTGTCTCCTGTCTGCGATATCCTGAAGCAATTAACTTGAAGAAGGCCATCGTGCAAATTTGCGAATATTCATCCTTCACCTTGTCCGCAACAGCTCCAGCCAAATGATCTTTCTCCACCATATGTTCCAAACAAAACTCAAGTCGTTTCTTGGCTACATCTGGGGAGTTTGAAATGACAGATGGACTTAAACAAGAAATATACCTTGTTAGAGCACATCGAAGTGGCGAACGATCGAGGAGTTTCGTCAAAAATGCAACATAATAGTTTTTGCAGTCGTTGCGAAACACCAAGAGTTGTTGTTCAGACATTTTTCCACGGATTCCTTCCGCTTTGATAGCCGCTTTTACAGCAAATCCCACGTCTACTTCAGCTGATGTAAGAAGGTTGTCCTGATTTAAGTCAATCTCCGTTAGCGCTTTAGGTTTCTTTTTAAGGCGGTCTGGCTTCACCACTCTCTGCATCGCATTTTGAACTAGGCTTGTTAGTTCATCGTACAAAAAGGGAGCAAGTGGTGCATCACCCTGAAATTCTTTCAAAAATGGTTCCACATTTGCCGCTGCAGCTACAAAAAAGCTCAATTTAGGTCCAAATAGCTGATCCGATACCGCTTGGGACACCACTGAAAACGCGTTGGAGCTGTAAACCACCTTAAAGCTTGTTGAAATTTTACTGGCTTCACATATGTTCGCAGATGAGGAAGCATATCTAGAGCTCGTTCTGCTACTCGCTGGTTTTCCACCCACCTGACTCCGCAAAATTTGAGCGGCAATATGGTGCTACCAGTAACTGCTATAAAGTCAGCACGTCTTAGGGGAACATCTTTTAGCAGGTAGTACAACGACATCAGAAACTGATCGATCTTCCAGTCCGTTTTCTGCATACCGCTCTTGAACGAATTATGCACTACATGAAGACCGCAACTGCCAATGCTGAGTAGACTGAAGGAACTGCTCTCACGCATCTCTTGCAATTCGAAGGACAGATCGTTAAGGAGTCGCCAGTTCACGTTGGGTCCATCCATAGACACCTGAATAACTTTTTTCAACAGTCCGGGATACCCTAATAAAAATTGTATGGTTAATTTGCTTAACGACGTGTTCTGGGTATCATCCAAACCATTTATGGAATAGTTCAATGATTTGGGTTATCATTCGTTTATGGTTATTTTTTATTAGGGTATGCTTCGAAACACTTCTTGATCCCACTCATCAAGTCAATCGCTCGTGTCGATGATAGGAAAGCTGAGCCTACATATCTTGTCTATACTTTCTGCTTGTCTTCATCCCAAAAATGAATGCTTACATCAAGTTGCTGCCGTTGTGCAATTTTGTTCAGTGTTTCGTCGAATCCAAGGACGACCTCGGAGCAACTTTCAACTTTGGTCAGTAAGATCTTCTTGAAGTAAGGTGCCAGACC